CTGGTTTCACCCACGGATGGGTTCGGTCACTTACACAACAGCAAACAGTTGAGTTTTGTTTTGAAAAGAGGGAGAGAGTCGGTATTTCGGATGTCAGATGGCAAAGAGTTCCAGAGCTGAATAATCATTACACTGCAGGTAGAGCCTCTGTATGTGTTCCATCAGCGAATTGAATATTTTATTGTCTAATTCTTAGATCACCAGTAGTCCAACGTCTGACCTCAACATCAAGGGAGACAGCAAGGCCATCATTCGCGGTAACGAGGGGGTGAACATCATGGGACGGACTGTAGAGTTTAAAATGGGTGGCGACATCATGCTCAGGGCTGTAAGTATCCACTGCAGCTCCACGCTCAAACATGCACGATGAAGACGCTGGCTGGAAAACGGGGTGACTCGTGCGCTTTCCCTTCTTTGCAGGAGAACAGCATCGTTCTCAACGGGTCGGTCATGTTCAACGCCACACGTATCCCCAACGCCGCAGGGGGCGAGTATTTCAACGACAGTCAGGAGAGGTACAAGCTCTGCATATGTGAGGACGGGACGCTGTTCCGCGTGCTGGTGAAGTTTCCCAACATGGGGTGCCAGACATCAGACAATCCGTGCAGAAAGGCTCACTAGGACTCATCTGCCCCTGCAATCTGTAGCCGCTGAAATCAGACCTAACCACTGGCACTTCTGAGTGCTTTGGATTGAGTACTGCTTCAGAGTTTTAGATATCTTTAATGGCTTGCAAGCAACATCGAAGACAGGTGAACTATCCGAGTGCCAAACACAGATCATGTTACAGATGATTTCCACTGATCCAAAGATATAGATTAGAACTATTTCTCTTTGTTCTTTGCAGCCTTCATTGAAAACTGACAACATCTTATCATTGCACGCTACCTTTATGCTTAGGAGGGATATAGTAGTTTCTGTTGCTTGTCGGTTGCAATTGGAAATTGCGGTATTTATTTTTGCCTTGTTGTCCATCATCACTAATTGCAGAAGAGAGCTTTTATAAGAATTTTTGTGTTTTGCCTTTGAATATTCCTGGCAGCTGTATCTCTTATTGTCTGACACATATGAGATGCTACATGGTCATTTTCACCTGAGTAATGTTTCCAAATGCCCAGAATTTGAGATGATCTGAACTGTGCAAACTACACCGTAGGCTTTGCCGTCAAAGCGAAGCAGAGTTATCTCTGCTCACCTTCGACTTTATATCATGTACGTGTCAATGGATTTAAAGGGATGATATATTTAATACATATATTCTAATTTTATTGCAAAAGATTTTTTACAGTGGGAAAAATACATTGTGGTATAACAGAGTGAGAGTGTGCCCTAAATAATACTGCAAGTAAATACACGAGTCTTCATATGTCCAGAGGCTAAAATCTGCAGTTTGTGGGGGTGAAGCCTGTATAGAGTGGTTTGGATTTTGTGCAATATTTAGAGAGGAAAGAAAAAGAACATGTAATTCGCTTTGCTTTTTGTCATTTGTTGTAAAACGGTATTGCTGTGGAGGGCATTTGTTTTTCTCAGAGTGAAAATGTGATTTTGCTAGAGCACTGTGTTGTTGATGACTCACATAGAATGACATGCCATCCGGCCACATTTACAAAAAAAACATAATACCCAAAATGTCATGGGTCTGTTTGTGTCAATAAAGATATTTGTTGCCATGCGAAACTGTTCTAATCATTGTGTCAATAAATGCCTCATGGTTTACACGGTCAATTGGCACCATAGAAATCCACAACCCAATAATGCTCATGATACAGTTTTATCGTCTAATGAAATGTGCAGACGGGGCATGATCCTCCTGGCCATAAACTTTGAGGATTGCTTATCTGTCATGCTTCAAGAGGAAAACAAAGACAGTAAGACATTAACTCAACACGTAAATGATTGCATGAATCACGGAGTGGCACCTTTGGGCAGGTGCTTGTTAAGTTATGCGCTGCAAGGCCCACTTCAGACTTTGATCCGAACCTGTTTTGAGTGTTCATTCTGGATGGGAGGAGAGTCACAAGATTTCCTGCCTGCTTCGTGAACAGGTGAGCTCATTTTACGCAAGACTGAACACTGAAACTTTTCCTCCGAATAAAAGCTGATCTATTTTTCATCCCTTTCTCGTTGTATGTGTGTGTCTGTGTGTCTTATGGTGAAGCTGGAGATGGCAGTACCCCACCTGTGGTTGACCGCTGCGCTCCTCCTGGCGCCCTTTTGTGCCCGCTGCTCCTCTTCAGAACCCGTCTGTCCGCAGCCCTGCTCCTGTGACAGAGCTCCAGTGCTGAACTGCTCCTCATCGCGCCTGTCCTCAGCGCCGCAGCTCGTCAAATACTCTGTGACCGAGCTGGACCTGTCTCATAACCTCCTCACCTCTTTAACATTTCACCGTCCACATCACAATCTCAGGAGGATATGGCTGGGAAACAACAGCATCACGCACTTGTCTCTCTGCTTGGAGCGACAAGTCGGGGGTCGATATCTCAGGCATGGCTTGGGAACCTGGAGTGGAAGGGGGTGTCTGACGTGGGCCCCCACCCTGCAGCTGTTGTCTATTGAGAGGAATCGGCTAGAACGGCTTCCAGAGGGTGAGTCAGTCTCATATAATGTAGAAATGTATACACGTAAATCAAACTCTATCCTTAATAGGTAACCAAGAAGTGGTTTGAAATCTGAATGTAAATGACCATGAAATGGAAATATTCAAGTAAAAAAATAATCAACAGCTATATTTTTGAATGGTACTTATGTAAAAGTTTTTCCTCTAAAGCCAAAGTATTGTTTGATTATGTACTTGAGCCATGAGCATTCGAAAACTTTTGTGGGGCCTTAACTCTTTTTTCTTTATACACTAAGCCGAATATGTTGCCATGTTGGGTGTATTGATGAAATTTGAGTTGAATAGCTTTAAACCACCAGTGTTATGTGATTTTTTAAAGATTAAATATAAAGGAAACAAATAAAATGTGAAGAATGCCACATGTGCTTCAGGCTCACATGACTTAAAAAAAAGAAAGGTTTTTGTGCTTGGATAACAAAGACTCCACAGCTGATTTGTGTATTTTATAGCCTTTACACCGCCGCATGTCCTCAGGAATGTGATTTATGGCTGTGTATGAGTCCCTATGAAAAGATAAGCCTGCACCAGGACATGATAACCATGAATGCTGCCCTAAAAGGTAGATTCAGGCTCACTCCTTAGTCCACAGAGGAAGGAATCTTGGAGGCATGTGTGCTGCTTCTGCATATCATTTTCTGATATAAACAAACCCTCCCACTGATATCTGTTATCTTCTTCTGGAGCACTTTGCTCCAGTAATTACTGGGCCTTCCTGGATAATGACCGTATGCCCGGTCACAGTCAGGTTTTATTGACAGTCCTCTGTATAGTTGTAAGAGGGCAACAGAATGCTCATCTTCACCCCACAGCAAAAAAAAATATTTATTTTTCCTCCAGAAAATAGATACTGCCTGGCTTTCATTTGAAAGCCTGTACAGACAGCCTATTTACTTGGCCAGAGCTGCGCACACCATCATAGATCTGACGCTGTTTGGTATTCAGACCACAGAACCGTCAGTGCCTCCTTAATGAAGTGCAGGGCCGACACCACCTTATCAAAGACTCTGAAGAGATGGAGATTTTGTCAAGATAATGATAAGGAGATTCTGGACAAGATTATTTTTGCCCAATTACAGCAGTCGCATTGTGTTTACTTTGACGATGAGAAAAAAAATAGTAATATCTGTATATATTTTCTATTAATCGCTTGCATTTACCTTTTTAGAAACTGCATTTTAAAAAGTTCATAGAGACCTGTCATTCATATTTTTATAAATATGGCACAAAAGGTACAGCACAACTCTAAATCTTTATAGCTAAGAAATATACCATTTTATTTTAGATCATCTACAGCAGTACAGTACCTATCATTCTTCATGAAAACCTTCAAGACAAAATGCATACCATGCTCCCTTCAAGAATGAGCTCCTTGTGATGTTGAGTCCTGATGACAGCTTTTTTTTTTCTTTTTTTAAAAAATGTCTTTAAGGTCTGGATGGAGTTGAGTTCTTGCAGATTCTGCAGCTCTCTTTCAACAGGATTTCAATCCTGCAACCGGGAGAACTTAGTCACCTTCGACAGCTCAAAGAGCTCCACTTACATCACAACCTCCTCACACATCTCCAACCACAGATATTTCAAAATTTAGTCCAGCTCAGGGTAAGACTGTTTTTTAAATTATTTACACCTGACACCTACATCCTGACATCATTTTGTCACATTACATTTCTAAGAAAAAATATCCCGTCATCAAATGCGTTTGAAGTATAGAGGTGTTTTTCAATTGTCACAGATATATAACAACCTGTATCACTACCAGCTGTTGGTCATTTTTTATTTCCTCTCATAGGTGCTTGATCTGAGCTTCAACATGTTGACCAGCCTTAATCCACTGATGTACCTTACGCTGCGTAACATTGGAACAGACGTGAGGTTGGATGGAAACAGGTGGCAATGTGACTGTCGGATGAGTGGACTACAGAGGTGGATGGCCTTTGACAAAAGCAGAGGGCTGAGGGGCTGGTCGGTGGTTTGCCTTTCGCCCTCAAACCTCTCAGGCAGAGACCTTCAGCAGCTGGAGGAGGGGGACCTAACGTGCTCGACCACCGAAGACAGCCCGGATCGCCACCAAGATGTGACAGTTCATCGCGGCTCAGAGATACTGCTGTCTTGCTCTGCACAAGGTAACGCCATCAAGAATGATGACAGAGTTGACCGCAAACTATGTTTAGAAACTTGAGTTTGTACAACTCCAACCTCAACTTTGTCTCTTTTGTAGACTCGGTGTGGTGGACACCCAGCGGTCAAGCATCTGGGAGTCAGCATCAGGGTGGTCTGCTCATCAGTGACATTTCAGAGAAAGACGTGGGACTGTATGTGTGTGTATCTCAAGAAGATGATACTGTGTCTGTTTTTAACCTCCAAATCAGTGAAATGGCGGGTGCAGGAAAATCTAATCCTTCCAGGACCCGTCGACAAATAATACCCCCACACACTTCAGACAAGATAGTTGAGGAGAGAAACCAGAGAGCAACACAGTCCGACTTAGCTCTGGCTGTGTGCTTGTCAATTCTTTTCACATTCCTGATAGCTTTTATCCTCGGAGTCCTGGCAAGGCCTTATGTTGATGCGCTGTGGAAACGGATGAGCAAAAAGAAAACCGACCCTGCAGCCACTGTGGCCACTGTTGAGCAAAGACAATATGACAACATGGGATTCTCGAGTGCTGAGGAAGCTGTGGAAACAGGACCTCACAGGGAAAGGAGGGTCACGTTTAGCTCAGCAGATTTTGGAGAAGACATCCATGAACCTTATTATGATATTGTAGCTAGTGGAGATCAGGCGATCGTTAAAGGTAATGCGGTTATTGAATGTGAAACAGCTGAGGCTAAGAATGATATGCATACAGCTGGAAATTCAGGAAGTGAAAACAACTTACGACAGAGCAGTCGAGTGGATATGCAGATTGAAGACAGTGACTCAGATGGGATTACTGTACGGCACAACCAAGAGTTTGAACGCATCCCAGATCGTACTGAGCTGGGGGAGAGGAGAAGCCTATCATCTAGCTCAGATTCTTCCTTATCCGAAAGAGTTTCTAAAGACAAAATGGCAAAAGGAATCCATGCAATGCCCAAATCTCCTCAGCTAGCAGAAGACACATTTCAGCAGAGAGCAGATTCCTCTGCTGCCAAAAAGGTAAAGGTTTCAAAGAATTCCAGAAAGGATAAAAGTCAAATACCTGGATTTTCTTCTGAGCCTTTTGCAGATTGGTCACCTCACACAAGTAACAGAAACCCAACTAATGAAAATAGTTCTCAGGACAATGAAGAACTATTTGAATTCAGTGACTCTTCTCAAAGCATATCTGCAAGGTCTAGCAGTGTGTTTGGTTATTTTAATTATCCCAAAGAAGCCATAAAACCCACTTCTGACAAAGATAAGAAGGGTGGTATTTCCAGTTCCAGCTCATTTTCCTCCAGTGACAATTGCAAAGAGCCAAAACAAAACAAAATCAAAAAAGAAAAAGGGAAAGAAAGATCTACTTCAAACAATGGCTTGTTAAGCAGCATGGTAGGTGCTCAAGGGGGAACAAAGAAGAGAGTTGCACCTAAGCCACCAACTGCAAAATTGTCATCATCCTCCACTAGTGGCAGCAAAGAAGAAAACACAGACCTCAATGTAGGACCCCATCAAAAAGAAACTAGCCAAACCAAGGGCTATTTGGATGTTAGAACCCGAACACCATCTAGTGATTCATTATCTAGTGATGAGAGTGCAGAGAACGTAAGGGACAATAGAACGGTGCACAAAAAGAAAAACACGAGGATCCATGACTCTCAAGAAGTGAGCGCTCATTCAAGTACTCTGTGGCCACCTCTTGATCTTGACCGTACAACACATGTCAAGAGGCACCTAGTTATCAAAGCACCGTCATTAAGGTCTGATTCATCTTCTAGTAGTGACAGCGAAAATGAAAAAACATTACAGGAAAAAAAAAAAGAGCAGGTACACACGTCAAAGACTCCTGTTGAAGGATCTCAAACAGTAGGTCACAAGCCAGAAAACCAGTGGCCTGCCATTGATCTTGGATATGTAAAACGTGTCAAGAAACGACTTGACATTAAAGCACCTTCAGCAAGCTCCGATTCATCTTCCAGTAGTGACAGTGAAGATGATACATCTGGTCACGTAGGTAGTCAAAGGCGTGGAATATTGGACATTGGACTGTCTTTGTCAGACTCCAAAACACAAAGTCAGACTCCAGATGGAAGGTGGCCTGCACTTGATCTTCAGCATATTCCTCACGTTAGGCGGCACTTAGATTTCAAAGCACCTGCACCAAGTTCTGATTCATCTTCAAGCAGTGACAGT